GTGTGTGTCTGTGTGTGTGTGTGTGGTGTGTGTCTGTGTGTGTGTGTGTGTCTCTGTGTGTGTGTCTGTGTGTGTGTCTGTGTCTCTGTGTGTGTGTGTCTGTGTCTGTGTGTGTGTCTGTGTCTGTGTGTGTGTGTGTGTGTGTGTGTGTGTTTGGGGATGGAGGATGGGGGTTGCTGCTTCTCAGAATAACTGGGAGATCCATCTCTTTACTGTTCTCTCCTCATGACCCCTGATAAACCCCATGGGAATGTCATTTGACTTTCAAATTTAGAAAAAGCACTCTGTTGGTGACAAAGTACAGAAGATGATGGCAAAAAACACAATACTGTTTATACAATTAGTGCATGTTTTTAAGTCTTTTATGCCATTATAGAGAATATACGTAATTTGAACACATCAAAAAAAAGCAAGAGAAAGCTCCTGAAAAACTTGTAACCTTTGTGTTGTTTAGTTCAAACGGTGAAATGCTGACTTGTTAGTGTAGATAATAGAACTGAATTGACATAACTAGTTGTGTACCATGTGCCATAAATGCTAATTAATAATATAAATCCGGAACATGATAGCTAGTAGGGTGGGAATGAATCTTTGTTCTATCCTATTCCTTAGTTTTATTTCTGTGTTGGATGAATAAATAAAATCATGCTTAGCAAATGTGTGGGTAACACAAAATTCAGAGAAGAGCTAATATTTGGACTGATTGAATCAAGATACAGAGAAACCTTAGCAGGGTAAAAGGAGAGTCTAATCAGAACATGGAAGTAAACGAGTGTGTCCCAAATCCCTCACGTGGCTTTTAACCACGTGGCATGACAAGCCACTGCATTTATAGCAGAGTCTCTAAATGGAGAGGGGAGGGGGCCGTAGATTCCTGGGTCAGGCTGGGGAAGCAGAACAGAGTACTTTGCTCAGTTCTGGGCACCTCATTCCAGCAGGGGCTGTGACATATTTGTAGCATCTTGTGTCCAGCAAAGTGGCCAGAAGAGTTTAGGCTGTGGAAACTACAGAAAAGGAACAGTCAGAGGGAGGAACCGAGGAGTTTAATCTGAAGAAGAGCCGTGTATGGAACAAGGTTACCAATTTCAACTACTTGAGATGCTGGGCTGGAAATAAATTACATTTCTCTCTGCATCTATGAAGGAGAGAGTTGGTCCCGACGAGTAGGAAGCCGGGGAAGGGAGGTTCTGGCTCCATGTGGGAAGAATTGTCTGACAATTAAAGCTGTTTTAAAATGGGACTTGCTGCCTTGTGAGCTCTGTGCAGTCACAGAGACATGGAGACCAAAGGGCAAGGAAGCTGGGATGTAAGGACAACAGCCCCTAAAATCGTGTGTAAAATGTAGAAGGTGCTTTCATTATTTTTAAAGAGGTCTCCTAGATAGTTAAACACCAAAGGGTATTACATTACATTGTATGTGTTACATTATTACATTATCTATGTGTAGCCATTGTATATTATATATAGATTATTATTAAACACACGGGTATGTGATATAAATAACTAACTAAATAAATAAATGTATGACAAGGAAATGAAGGGGAATAAATCATTATACATTGAAGTTTTAAGTACCATGAAAGTTGCCAAGTTATCCACATCTGTTACCTTATTGGTAAATTTCACAAACTCTGTCAGAAAAGCAGATGTTTACACCAAACACTGCTGAATTATATATCAGAGCCTGTAGCAAAGTGTGTACCCTGTGACTGTAATTCCTCTTCTAGGAATGTAGTCAAAGGACATAATCATATGCATAGGAAAAGTTTATATGTAAGATAGCATTGTTTATGATACTGAGAAATCAAAACCATCTAAGTGACTAAGCTTAACTTTAAAAAATGGTGGTGCAGCCACAAGATAGAGTAGTTTGCATACATTATGTTTTGTTGGAGGGGGAGAATGATGGACAATATGACATATATAAGTAGGCTCATGATAAAAACAAATGAAAAGAGTAAGATGTAAGATTACACATACAGTATGATCCCAATGGGAAAACAACCTACATGCAAACTGAAAATCTGAAAATAAATGCACAAAATGGGGACAGCAGTTATCATCTCTGGATGGTTAAATAATTGGTGCTTTTCATTTTCTTCTTTATATTCATCTGCATTTTACAAGTCTATATATGCAATTTATAAATGTATGCAATGTTTGTAATTGAAAATTACAATGCATTATAAATTGCATATAAATATATGCAATGTTTGTAATTTATTTATTAGATTTCAGAACCAAATTTAAAAAGCCCGTGCTATCTTTTATTCCACCGTGTTTTCATTCTGTAACACTCATCTATATATGACATTGAATAACATCTTATTTTGATGAACTATGATGTAGAACCTTGTGTCACAATACAGTAATGTGTTTGTGTATTATTCTTAGTAGTCTGCCATTATTTGGGGAAGTTTTGTCTGATCAAAGGCAAGTCACTTTCTAGCTTTTTATTTTTTTATTAGTAAAATTTAATATTGTATTCATGATACTTATTAAACTTCTACCTCTAGAAGTCTTTGTTTCTTTGTCCCATATAAATTGATAACCTCATCATTTGGTCTATGGAGATAATTTAGAAATGAAAATGTTTTAAAAGGCTATCATTATAAAGGTTTTATAATTGTTTTTAAATAAATTGTAGTCTTCTTTACACATGATATGTCTAAAGAATATAAAGCATAATATGAAGAGTACTGGGGGCTAAACATACACATACCTATAAGAATTTAGCACTCAACTTGTCCTTCTAAGTTGCCCTTGAGACCAGTTTTCTGAAAATCAGTCTGCAGAATTCTAGAGAATATTGTATCAGCCCTTACAAATATGTATTAAAGGCTCATGATACAAAATATCTAGTAGAGAAAGGTGCATAGCTATATGCCTTCTGATTCCCAGTTTCAGGTGTGTGGTTTGAGCCCCTCCAGGTGGGACAGCTCAATTTCCCTGTAATCCAGAAGGAAGGGCCACAGTCCATTCTTTTCCCTGACTCAGGCTAACAGTCTCCCCTCTCTTGGTGTTTCCTTTATCTCACCTTCCCGGCTGCACCCTCACCCCCCATCCTGTCTACTGTGAAAGAAACAGATGTAAGTTGCAGAGTGGAAGATTCTCACTCTCAAAGGGTAAGGCCTTAGTAGATGGATTAAAACAAGGCCCATTAAATGCAGTTTGCCCTTGGTTGTTAGAAGGAGATTCAGGAACTCAATCCCTTCCGTTCTAAATAAGAATCCTCTCTCTTTTTACTTCTTCAGGATGCACCATTTGTCAGTACCTTGATTGGGACTTTCTGGGCTGTTTCTTGCACAAAATCTAAAAACTCCTCTTACACATCCCATCCCCTCCTCCCTTCCTGTGTCCTCTACTTTCCCAGGCTCTAAAAACTCTGGGACATGGAGCCCTATCACCCTAAAAACTACCTTACCTGCCTCAAATAACAAAGCCCCTTTGACTCTTTGTATATGTGCAAATTTTATGAAAACTGCTGATGTGCATACTTGTAAAACTCAGAGGTAAGCCATGCCCCCTTTAATAATCTTTCCATGATTGCCGCTGGCTGAGGTAGGTATCCTGTGAGGTTCCACAGGGGCCTGAGGAGATCTTGTTTATAGAACACATTTTTTATTCGCAGGGGTCTATTTACTTGTCTCCCTCCCTGTCTAGCTTGTGATCTGGGTAGGAGGGAAAACTTATTTTCCTTCACTTCCTTCATTTTGGGATGTATTTCTGGCATCTGGCATTGCGCCTACCAGGTGATAGGTACCGTAAACAACTGTTGAATATTGAAAGGGTAGGTTATCAGGGACTGTTCATTATAGAATTGAAAGACTGCAGGATAATTTAAAATTTGTACTGTTAGACGTTATCTAGTATTAGAAAACAAAAATGCCTGTTTCCTCCTCATCTTAGGAGTAACTGCGTAAATGTCTTGGTAACAACAACCCAGCTGATCCCAGCACTTGCGAAGGTTCTACTCTATAGTTTAGGAGGTGCTTTTCCCATTGAGAATATTTACAGTGCAACTAAAATAGGTAAGAAAATTATTTCTAACTCCGTGTGAAATACGTTCGTATCTGTGTTTTGGGGGATTTTCTTAATGTGTGTCTCCACATGATCCCTTCTTTCATCAATTTTGCTATAAGAATATCAAGCAAATTTGAGTAGAGCTCAAATAGCAAAGTCCCCTGCAACTCTTCGAGCATGTGCAAACTTTATGAAAACTGTTGCCTATGAAATTCTGAACTCGGTATCTGGATAGCTCTGAGTCTTTATATATACTTATACATTTATATTATATTTGTATTTCATTATGGCACATGTTATCTAAATAATATACAGTACCTTTAGCCATAGTATTTAATATTTTACCTAACATGGTATATGGTATTACATCCTTGCATATGCAATAATCTAGATCTAAGATAAAAGTACTGTTTTGGCATTATAAGGGAGTGTCAGATGGATTGAACGAGTAACCTTAATTCCAGGGGAAAAAAAATTTCGTGAATCAGAAAACATAATTGGAGCATTCATAACATATGAATGGCTGGAAATCCACATTTCCAGAAACGTTCAGTAGCAATCAAAGAACTACAGCCTTGTTTATTTAGATCATAGCTGTCTATGGAGACATCTTTGACTTTAAGTACCTTTCACAGGCTCTAAGACTTCTAAGAAACTTTCAAAAACAAAAGCTCATCAACTTCTGCCATCTTGAAAGAGTTAAAAGAAAACAACTCATGTATTCTGTTGTCTGTCAAGGAAATGCCTGGGGAAATAGATGGGTTGTACAATGTGCCCTGAAGGTCAACAAACAGGCTCTGGCGGCTTGACAAGAGTTCCGAATCCTAAAATCCCCTACCAGAAATAACCTGCCCTGGGCCTTGCAGAGTTCTGATATTGGCACAGGCAAAAAGAGCCCCCAGCTACAGCTGTTTGGGGAGTATAGTTAAAGAGAGGCAAGCTTCCGTAAAGTAAATTCCTCATTGTCCTAAGCACTGCCATTCAGAGCCCTGGTACCAATCCCATTCATTTTTTATATAAGTGTATTTATGCTAGCAGGATTAATACATCGAACCCGATTTTGCTTTTTGACAAATCAAGTAGTTTTACACAAGCATAAACATTTCCTCTAGTAAGGACAACATTCTTTCTTACTGGCCAAATTGTTCCTTATCTTTAATCTGAAAAAAAAATCATTTTTATTTTTCCCTTTAAGCTAGTATTTTTTGGAGTTCTGAACTATCAGAGTAAGAAAAAGTGAAAAAGAAGCCATGACTGAATGAACATGCTGGGAATGAAATTCAGAGAATAATGCCAATGTTGTAAAAACAAAGAACATGTAAAACTTCTGTGGTGTTATTCCCATAGTGCGATCAGAGGATACTAGTGTCACCAGTGCTGTGGTCCAAGCAAACAGCACCCTTAGTACAATTAATCTGAGCAGACTAGCTCCCAGCCACTTGAAGAAAGGAATTGTTTATCAAGATAAATCCGTATCTTAGTATTTCCTCTTTCGTTCTAGGTGAACCTTCAGTTTTTCACAGTAATAATTTTAGCTGACTTGTCTATACTAATTAAAACAAACTAGATAAAATGTAGAATTACACAAATAAATGTAAAAACTGATAGTTGCTTGTAAAGTTGTTCCTATAGCCTTTTAATGGACTGAAAGATATAAAAGAGATATAAGTTTTTTTTCCGATTAGATACTTAGCCCTACTGACTTTTTTTGGAGTGTGAAATACATTCATTTAATAATCTGTCTTAAGTAAAGACTTAGAGTATTCAACCATATTTGTTGATTTCATAAACCCAGAGTTTGCAAGCAAGTTTAAGTGATTGATGTTCAAGAGAAAGTAACTTAACACTTTATGAATCTTTAGGTTAATGAATGCAATGGCTGGAAGAATAAGCAGTGCATTGTTTTTCAGGCAAGGAAAGCTGTTTTGAGCGTATAGTGTCCAGATTTGGCACTAACATAACTTATGTTGTGATTGGAGATGGCCGAGATGAGGAGCATGCCGCTAACCAGGTAACTTCACTCTGAACTTTATCTTGTTTATCTTCCAGGAAAAGAAAGTTGCTTTGAACGAATAATGCAAAGGTTTGGCAGAAAAGTAGTATATGTTGTAATTGGGGATGGTGTAGAAGAAGAACAGGCAGCAAAAAAGGTAACCTGTTTCAAACAATGTTGGTGTGATACTTCTAATGCAAGCTTTTTTGTTTGCATTCCTGTAGTTTGGCCCAATGGCAGCTTGACAAATGATTTAAATTTATAGATGCAAAGCAGTAAGAGCATGAGAAGGTCAGTACTTACATTCAAATAAACCATTTGGAGTCTAGCATTTTTTTTGCCTGAAACTTCATAGGAAATATAGGAACATTTAGTTACATTTATTTGTGTGTGTGCTTATGTGTGTGTGTGTGTGTGTGTGTGTGTGTAATACACACAGATATAAGAAAGATGGGGGAAAAAAAATGTTTTTGAGCACATGAAGTTCAACAAGATTAAAGACGCTTAACGAGCTCCATAGAAAGCCATGTGAGTGGCTCAGTTCTTACCCTTTTCCCATCCATCCTCTATGCCATGTGGTCCTTGCGAGTGCCTAGTAGTAATTGTGCCCCATGATGATAAATCTGAGGGTAGCTTTAATAGATGAAGAAGAAAACTTACTAGAGAAGTTAATAAATGCTATTGGAGTGGGATATATTATTCAAATCCTTTTGCGCCAACTTGTTATAGAGACGTAGAGGCAATGTCCCTTACATCTTCTAGAAGAGTGTTATTTGTTTTGGTGAGTCATTGGTACTTGATTGAAGCCAAGCAGCTGGCTTTGAATATATTCAGAAGATCTCATAGGCCCTAGGTATTTAAATCAGCCTTTTCATCTGGCCCATATTTCTGAAAAAATCAAGGCAATTAAGAAACCATTAACTGGTTGGTCCAGCATCAAAAGGAGAATGATATCAAGATTGGCCCCAGATACCAGACTATCGATCAACACAACATTGAGATCTACTGCTTCCTTCACCGATTGATAGCAGAATATCATCTAGCCAGGATTAAAGTGATATAATTTATAAAACAAAGCAAAATGATGAATAAGTATTGTTGAATAATGACATGTCAGCATATATTGTTTTACATAGAAAGAATATTGTCTTTATTATCCTGAGGAGATTTCAAATAATCATCTGATAAAGGCTTCACTAAACACTTGCATGTGCTGGAGTGTTTATCTGATTTCTGTCCCCCCTCGCCCTCCCCCCGAAAAAAAAAAACAACATAAACAGTTTCCTAGGAAAGTTTATAGTGATACTAGAAAGGTAAAAGACATGATTTATGTTTGTGGTCAATTCAAATCTAGCAAAATGGAGAAAAAGAAGGAGCTTCCACTTTAGAAGGTTTGGTGACGCGTTGGAAGCCATACTTGAAATATTCCATGCTTTTCCATAACATTAAGAGAGTTGTTTCAGACTCATCCTCCCACAGTGCCCCTCCGTCTTAATTAGCAGTGTCAGTGACCCAAGCTGACGACCACTTGAAATCCTTCCGGTTGCACACAGTTGAAATATCTTCTGGAGTTTGTCAGTGTCCTGAGTCCTTGTTGTTTCAATTTTTCATATTGGCACCGTAATTACACACAACAAAGAGCAGTCAGTGCAGCCACCATGGCAAGCATTTTACATGTCTTTTAGCCTATGTGAAATTCACACACGTCTAGGTCAGGACTAATCAAATTCGCTTTTCCAAACCAGAAATGGTGTATGCCTTTGAAAATTAAAATTTATAAAGTCAACCCCATTTATGCGTGGCGTGAAAACTAGACTTGGTATACCAGTTGTTAACACCTTCGGCTTTAAACCCAAAACTTCAGGAGAAAAAGGCATGACTCCAAGTGGATAAGAACCTTGGTTAGAATGCTATTTCCAAATGGTTGTTTATGTAGGTACAGTTTTGGTGATGGTGAAGGCTTATAATTCTATTTTGAAACACAGGTGGTTGGTTTCTCTAGTATCCGGAATGCATGCTCTTCTTTGGATGTAGCTGTAATCGCATGTGCAAAAATATAAAGTACTATTTTGCTATTACAAATAGATCTGAGCTGAATTTTTAAAAAGTTACTTCTAGGTGAATTTTATGCTTTAATTTGACCCAAAAGCATAGTTTGTTTTGTAAATCTAAGAAGAAATTTCAAAGTTGACAACTGAACTCCCCTATAGAAATATATGCTGCGAGCCATATTTGTAATTTTAAATTTTTTGGAAGCAGTGTTTAAAAAAAATTAAAAAGAGAGACAGGTAGAATTAGTTCTAATGATATACCAATATACTCAAAATATTATTGTCTAAACACCTAATAAGTATAAAAACTATTCATGTGATATTTACATTTTTAAAACAATTCTAAGTCTCCGAAATTCAGTGTGTATTTTGAACTGGACTTGCCACATTTTGAGAGCTCAGTAACCATATTGGGCTAGTGGCTACCATATTGGGCAGTAAAAAACTATATAACAATAGAGATTATTATTTTAATTATTCATTTTTATAATAAAGTGTCTTTTCCATGTTACATATAATATACATATATTTCCATTTTACATGCAAATATATAGTCTACAAGATGTGATCAGCCCAAACTTACAAATAAAGTTTTGGTTTTGTTAATTGCTATAGTGCATTATTTCCTTTTTTTCATTATTGTCCACAATGAAGTATTTTTAGACATTTTTTTTCCTAATTACAACCATTCATGAAATTTTAATACCACGCATATACCATTACTAGTATAGCTTTGGAGAGCCACAAACCATTGTAATATCTAAGAATTTTTTCCCCACAAAAACTCATTTTTGTCCCCGTAAGGGGGTGATATCTCCCCCTTGAGCATGCATGCTGGAGTGCTTTCCCTCAATCCCACACCAAGGAAATAAATCAGGTCAACTCTGCTGGCTTAAATTATTACTTACCCCAGACAAGTAAGAAACTTGATCATCCCCACATTTTCTTCTACCTTATATAGTCCAGCTTCAAATTATATTTTAATGTAGAAAGGAATTCACCCTCTTCCTCTCAAATTGACAAAAAGCCTTGGATTTAGGAAGTTTATCATTTTTTCTGAGAGATGGACCTTAAGGAGTGACGTAGTAAGTAAAATTTGTTTTCCTCCAGCCACGTAGGATTTTGACGCTCAGCTTGCTTTCCCGGATGCTGAGATTAGTAATGACACTTTCCAAAATAAATATTAAACTACTTAAGAAATCTCATTACTTTCTTTTATTATCATTAAAATCCAGTTCAGATCTATTTCTCTATTATTTTGACAATACCACATTGATGCTACCAAACCTTCAAATATGATCGTCCCTCCCTTAAACTCCCTCCCTTGAACTTGGGTGAACTACACTTCCTTGTGCGGACCGCTGCTTCACTGAGATAATAGTTATGCTCTCTCTCCATCCCTTCCCCTTCTCTCTCCCATCCCTTCCTCTCTTAACCACACAGCACAATATGCCCTTTTGGAGGATATCAAGTCATTCAGACCTCTTGGCTCTACATCAAGCACTGGAATTAGAGTATTTGTAACTGTGTTCTCTAGCTGGAGATCCGTTTTTTTTTTTGTTTTTTTTTTTGTTTTTTTTTTTTATATTTCAAGTACACTGAATTTTTATGTGTGATTCAATGCCTCTGGCTTTACACATATAAATTGTCTTAAAGGATGAAATCATATTTGGAATGAGAATTCCAGAATGAAGAATTCAGATTGCTGAATGGAATTAAACTTTAGTGCTACAGAAAGGAAGCTCTATGGTCTTATATTTACAACACTTTAATGGTTTAAAAAAAAAAATCTGTGGAGGTTGCTGGTACACACCGAATGAGTCCTAACTGGAAGTAACAGCTTTAGCAAAGAGCTCTCACCCTGGCAAAGCACCAACACAGGCTCCGTCTGACAAGGTTCAACAACATTCCTCAAAATGGGAGATCTTCTCAGCCCTGAGGTTTGAATCTGACTTTAGCCTACCTAGCCCAGAAAATCTGAATTGGAATGCACTCAGACTGTGTAAGGACAGTCCTATCTAGACCTGTAATTTGTGTAAATTATTGATGAAAGTAATTTACTGTGACTTTATTAGCAGCTGACTTTGAAAGTGGATGCAATTTTTCTTTCATTTGTCGGGGAGGGTAGCGGGAGGGGAAATGGGAATCTAATCATGTCTCTTTTTTTAAGTTTGGCAAACAGAATGTTCATACTGATGTGTTGTGCCTTAAAGACAAGACAGCATTTGTGTGTTACAATGTAACTTTGGTTAAAATCTCTGTAGATAATGAAAAACAAAAACCTTTGTGATCATTCTTAAGATGACCAAATTTAAAATTCAAGCTATCAAAGCTTCATAATGCATCAGCAAGAAACTGAGTATTTGTTGCAATAAGAAAACAATAATAATAAAGGAAAGCTTGTGTTTTATTTGGGTTCTTAATAATTCCAATAATTGTATGAGGCAACTATTGGTGCATCCAACCAGAAGCAGAAGGTTTGGGAAAGATTGTGGGACCTTTACTTAGAAAGTGAAGTGTATGTTGAAACCTCGAGTACCCTTTCTACAGTTTTACTGGAGAAAACTAAGAGCCATATTCATGATGACCTATACTGTTTGGAGTCTGACTCGTTGATACGTCTAAGTTGTATAGAGGAAAATATTCTGATGAAAATCATAAGCAAATATCACCCAAACTTTCTTAAAATATGCATGAACATGGCTTAAAATTCACATTGGGTGAACAGGGCTTAAAATAAAGCTAAGTGCATTTATTCCCAATGCCATTGCAAAAATGAAGTGTCATCAGTAGTGGAAGGTGAATGCCCCAGACGGTTTCTAAGGAAAGAAGTGAATCAATGAAAATTTTACCTAGACTATCATCATAAAATAAATGAACAAGTGAGCCAGATCTTGGCAGCGTTACTGAAGTTACAACGGTGAAATAGTATCTGGTTCTCTGTCTTAACACATCCATCCAGTCTCTCTCCATTACAGACCTGCGTACCTTAGTTTCTGGCTGTACCATTACTGCACAATGGACTTCATTCATTGCAAGGAGAGCCTGTCATCGTTGTGTTTGCATGTTTTTTTTTCTTGGTGTGTAGCCCATGTTAGGAACACGATACAGGTTCTCCTGTCATTTCGTATGACATGATTTCCCTTGTGGAAATTTAAGACTTCAAGATCTAGGAGTGTTTTAATGGTGTCTACACCTGCAGTTCTGTGTTTAAAATGTCACAATGCGGAACTTGCCATCCAGCTACTAAGCAGTGCTCCTAACCAGAGGCTGGTCCACGATAATCCATCATCTGAGGCTTCAGTGGCTCCCAAAAGATTGGTGCTTTGTACACTGATCACAACATTTGCTATGGAAATGTGATTTTATTTTCCAAGCTATAAACCTGTATTTCTTTACTGTACGCTAAGGCCATGTTTACATTGGGCAGAAAGAGATTGAGACCCTATTTTGCAGATTTTAAGATTGTGGTTTCATCACACGTAGACCTTAATCTTAATCTTTAAATTTTGTAGCTTTTGGCTACCTCTGCACCAAGTACTCTTGCAGATAGATTAAGGTTGGAATACTTAATAATAATAATAATAAATCTTACATTTCTATTGGCCTTTAGCTTGAAAACAGTAGTTTTAAAAAATTAAAGAGCTGCATTGATTATCAGTACATAATTCTATTTTGTGCACTAAAACCTTAAATATTTATTACTGTGAACAAAACAAAATTATCTTTACTGTAGAGCCAGGTTCTTTAAATGATAGAATTTTGGCATTACATCGAAATTTTTCACTCTTTTTCATATCAAACAGGCAAGGCTTCTTATGCTGCTAAACCTGCAGGTACAGAAAGGAACACCCCTTTACAGGGCAAAGAGGAGAGTCGCTGATTACATCAGCAGTGCTATTTCCCACAGACCTCTTCTCCGATGATGATGTGTTCAGAAGAGGCTGCCAGCCTAAAACCTAAACGCTAGGTTGTTGGAGAACAACTCGTCTGGTACCACCGTGGTGCAGGCCAGTGAGCCCACATCACAGTTTGTCCTGTGACTTTGAGCATGCTCAGGCTAGAACGCTTCTCTTCCCCCCCTTAGGAACCCAAGATCCTATTCCTTTCTGATCTTAAAAACAAAAGATAAACCAACAAACAAAAAAGCCCCTTTGGAAGTTGCCATGTTCTGTTGACATATAGGATATTGTGCCTTATTATAAACCAATTTGAAAATGTTTTGTCACGGACATGGGTGTTTGGTTCCTATATGCACAAACTTGTGATATCGCCGGGACAGGTCACCACCTCGTGTTGCACCTGAAGAATAGCAAAACAGGTGGCCCAGCTACAATAGTGTCACAGACAAGATGAAGTCATTACACCGTGCAAAGATTTGTAAATCAAATTCAGAGGCAAAAAAATATTTTAGGATCATGGAATTTGTGCACAAAAAGTAGATAATAACACTCTAAAAATGTTTTTTCCCTTAGTCTCTGGTGAGCTAAGATTCAAAATAGTGTCAACAGCATGCTCAGTATGAAGGTTTTTGGGGGTTTTTTTTTAATGCACATTTGTTTATGACAAGCCTGCATTCTCAGTGAATATGGCATTTAGTATCTCTTTTAAAAACAAACAAGCATCTTGAGCCAAAGTTGCATTTTTGACTCCCAACTATGGTAGCATTATGGAAATCTAACAAAGTCAAGGGTTTCTGTTACGTATTAGTAAAGTATAGATTATTGGGGCCTACATAATTTAAAGAAATGTAAATTAATATTAAAAGCTTGTAAAAATATGTATATCTTTACTATTTCTCAATAAATACCTTTGGAAATGATTTCGTTTTCTTCACCCTCCATGTCGTAGAGTTTCTGTTGTGTGTACTAAGCTTGATTCTAAATAACGTGAAATTTGTATTTAGGCTTCTTGCTGTCTTCTTACCTTCCCTTGTTTGTGCCTAAATTGCATAGTTTGCAGTTAAGGCAAGCTGAGCTGCCACACAGTAAAATGTCACTAATTAAGACTAAAAGTGGGCTGATGTACTGAAAAAGATGTGAGTACCTAGTTTTTTACATACAGGTAGTTATGTTAAAGTATAATGCATAATGTAGTCACTAGAGACAGTGACTACATTAGTGATAGATGTATCGTTAGTGATAAAATAATACCATTTAGAATATTTAAAGCAAGTTCCCTTTAGATGAATATGGGACATGGTTTATAAGTAGCTTCCAAGAGTGATAAAGGAATGTTTTTCTGAAACAGATCTAACAGCTCCTTTATTATCTTGTGTATAGTATTGATTTACTTGCAAGTCTGTTGTTCAAATACAAACCAAAGGGAAATTTCAGACCAAACTCTTTCACAACTTTTTAAAACATCACCCTCCAAGTTGATGAGTAGGTCCTTATCTCTAAAACTGCACATGCTCATCCAACACTTCTGTCATTTCCCTGCTTTACTGTTAAATAATATTTAGTCCTTATACTTATCCAACATGACACATATTTTATTTATCTTTTGTATTAGATGACTCACTTACTAGAATGTATGTTCTGTGAAGGCAGGGATTTGTTTTGTTTTGTTTTCTTAACTTCTATATAACCAGTATCTAAGAAAGTGTCTGGCATATAATAGGTACTCAAAAAACATTTGTTGAGTGAATGCATAAACCATAGGAAAACATCTATATGATCATGGTTTGGAATTAAAGAAATTTAAAATGGTAGAGTTAGATTTTTTAAAAAAAGAAGAAAAAGAAAACATACAGGTAAGTTTAGATGGGACCAATGTAAATTTTTACAACTTAGCTGGAGTGTTTACTGACCTAATAATTCATGAAAATAAAGAGCAATAAGCCATAAGCTTAGGTGTATTCGGAAAAAAGTTATACATGAGCTGGAAAGTTATACATGAGGAAAAAAAAATAAGTTCATAATGAATCAATGATTTCTTCCTCTTCCTTTTACTCTTTTCTTTAAAAAAATAATATGCAACATCAGTAGATTTAGTTGATTTAAATTACTTAAAGCCACAAAATATTATGTAAAAATCAGATCTATGCAGACTCTGTGGTTCATGATTCTGAATCCCAGAAACAAAAAAATGAAAGAAAGTGTATGATTTTCCTTAGGTAGCAAAAGGTAACCATTGTTTAATATCTGTGCATGGTTTGCATTTATTTATAAAAAATCAGTTATTGGATGTAGTGATATGTATATTCTCATTCACTGGTCACTTCTCAAAGCCCTCTCAAATCTAACCAGGCCAAAGTCAATTCTGGGGATGTACTCTGGCCAAGAAAGATGTTTGCACACAGCAAAAATAATTCCAAGCTCTGACTTTAAATGCCTGACTCGCCTCCAGAGGATCTTCCAGGATTGTGTTAGCACAGAGTTTGAAAAATGTGGAGACATAATGTGCTAAGAAATCTCTGACAAAGCAGATATATACGAGCCAGATGCTCATTTTCCCTCCCCATGAAATACTTTTTGATTGGGGCTTGTGCGGACACTGTCGTCTCTACAGCTAAAGGGCACTGTATTGTCCTTTGTAGTCATGAAGTCTTGGAGTTTTGTGCCTGGGAGCTGCGATGATGATGTCAATCTAGTTCTCTGGGGAGCCTTCCGGGAAATACAAAGATTTGAATGAGAGCATGTATCGGAGGCGGTGGAAGAGCCATCGAGTCAGTCTCCTACCACAGCTGGTAGGGCTGACCGTGAACTCAGCACACTCCTGACCCTCGGTTCGGTGGCGGAAGGTGTGAAGACAGTGTGTGAAAGGCGCCACGATGGGTAAGCACATGGTACGTGGCCAGTAACTTGCATATGCTCCTGACCAGCCAGCCCACAAAGGGAGAATTCCTGGACAAGATGATTTCCAAGCTGGAACTCCACTGGCAAAATGGAGAAGGCCAGGGAAAAGGGGATGGGAAACACCCAGATAAAGTGGAAAATATATATATGAGACTCTAGGTAAGAGAGAGAAAAGTAGAATGATGTGGTCAAGGAGCTGCAAATAATTCCTGTTTCTGAGACACAGAGTAAAGATAGGAAGTAGTAAGAAATGAGGCTGGAAAATAAACAAGGGCCAGATCATGCAGTTTTCCAATACACCGTGAATCAATTTTGGTTTTATCCTGGGATAAGTAGTATTCAATGAACCGTTTATAAACAAAGGATTTATGCGTCTGGATTTATGCTTGATAACAGTTTCTCTGGCAACTCATTAGAGGTAAGGGATCTAAGAGGATCCCAGAGAGTTATTGATCTATTCCTGAATTAGGGGATGGCTGTGAATATGGACGTACACAGACTCAAAAAGATTAAGATGCTAAAAAGAATGAGGACTTAGCAATCATTACTGCTTCTCAGGTAAATCCAGCCTGCCTTCTAGGTTTCTGGTTTGGGAAATTTGGAAGACGCAGTGCAGTTCACAGAGATCAGAAACACAAAAGAAGGAAAAAAGCTTCTGGTTGTTGTTTTTATTGCTGGTGGTGGTGCTTGTTATTGAAGGAAGATACTGAGTCCAGTGTTTGAAAGTGTTCATTTGGAAGAATTGTTCTGTGTAAAGCTGAATTTGCAGCAACTTCCCGGCTGTTTCTTAAACACCCTACTGCATCATAACTGAGTTACTCTGAAAGCAGTCCAAAAATCTAAATAATTTCATCTGATCATATCAGTTAGTCATTTAAGAAACATGTAGCATTGTGCAAACTTGGAACAGCACAAGTGAAAGTTGGGAAAGATGGCGGTAATGTAGAATGTGTAGGCACAATGCACACCAGGGAAAATTATTGGGGGTGACCAATTGATTTAACGTGCTGCTCCCCATATCCTGCCTTACCCCAGTTTCCAGTAGAGATAAACCCTGGTTTACAACCCTGGAGAAATTCAAATGCCTCGTCAGTAAATGACAGATGATTTAATCACTTATTCTTAGATGGATTCATGTATTCCCCCAAAATATGGCTTTCATTAGGATCTATGTTTTGGTTGAATAAGCTATTTCATGAGAGTGGGCAGTAATAACATGTATGTGAACAGAAATTAAAATTAATGCCAAACGCACACCTGCAAAGCTATGCTATTTGGCTCATGAAATTACTTCTACATCAGTTATGGGAACAGCAGGGGGTGGAGGTAGGGGAGACACTAGAAAGGGCTCTGGAAAAAAAAGTGGTCTGACACATCATTTTTTAAATTTGCATTTAGAGTTTTACAAATGACAAGTGCATTTTCCAAGTTTTGAGGACCCACCCCTCTTCTCAATAAAATCTACTGCCACATACTATTACCCCTTTCGGCAATATGCATTGTTACAAGGCTTGGCTCAAGAATTGGTTTCTAAGAATAGACAAGGGAACATTTTCTTTCTGTCTGTGCAGAGTGTAAATATTCATTCATGCCCCTTCTCTCTGTGTGAAGCCTTTATTGTTGTTGTAGTTTTACTCGTCTGACCTCAGCAGTGTCAGCTGGGTGGAGACAGTGGGTACCACTGAAGTGAGGTGAGCAATGGGAATGTCTTGCAGTCTTGCTTTGATTTAATTGGTAGCTTTGGAGTCAGCTCTAAAGGGAGAGAGCGTGCCAGAGGAGGAAGAGGAAGGAAAGTAACATTTGCAGACATATAATGAGCCAGGAGCTTACCCTATGTGACCTCATTTAATGATCACATCCCTGAGAGCTGGTATTATTAGTCCTATTGTATAGTTTAAGTGACTTCCGGAGGTCACATGACTGGTGGGTGGCACAAATAGAACTGGAAGGTAGGTCTATCAGGTGGACCATCTGGGCTGCAGAGCTATGCTCCTTGCACTGTATCTGGTTGTCCAACTATTGCAATTGAGTTGCTCAGAACTTGTAGAATTATGACCTGAGGAAAAGTGCAATCAGGAGCAGGTGAGGCGAAGGATGGATTGGGAGTTTGCAGTTAGCAGATGCAAACTATTATATATAGGATAGATAACAACAAGGTCCTACTTATAGCACAGGGAACTGTATTCAATATCGTGTGATAAACCATAAGGGAAAAGAATATGAAAAAGAATATGTGTGTATATATATATATATATATACACACATACACACACGTATATGTATACTGAATCACTTTGCTGTACAGCAGAAATTAACATAACATTGTAAATCAACTGTACGTCAAT